CCGACCCCCCCCCCCCTCGCAGACGCCCAGGCCACGCAGCTCCCTCCGCGGGGCCGACCTCCGCGGTGCAGCGATGGCCGAAGGCGGGGCGCCCGAAGTCCTGCGCCTCAACGTGGGCGGCTGCGTGTACGCCGCCCGGCGCCGGTCCCTGTGCCGCTTCGAGCACTCCATGCTGGCCTCCATGTTCAGTGGTCGCTTTCCTCTCAAAACGGACGAATCAGGTAGCCGTCCCAGCCTAGACGCAAGCCTAGCTGGAATGTTGGGTTGGTGTGCTGGTGGCTGAGGTCGCGAGGACGGTGGAGCCGTTCAGAGCGCGGAGAAATGAAACGCCAGCTTCTGGCTCCGACGCCGTGGCGGGAAGTCGGAAGGAGTTTGGGGTCTCAGGGTCGGCCGGGCCGCTGCTGCTGAGGCAGGAAGAGTGCAAGTTCTAGCCCAGTGTGGGCCATGTGGAGAGACCCTGTCTCAAAAATAAAAGAGCTGGGGATGTAGCTCAGAGCAAAAGCCCTTGGTTCAGCTTTCAGTATTGATAAAAGAAAGACATGGATAGGGTTGTGGGGCCGAGTCCCAAGAAGTTCATGGGACCCACTACTCTCGTGGAGAACCCCTAAGGCTGTTTCCAGCCCTGTTCTAGATCTGTGTGGGAGAGGCCGTGCTGGGGTGGACACGGGCGTCGGGCATCTGCCCCAGGGGCAGGGGGCCGCTACAGGCACAGTTGTAGTGTTTAGAGGCTGAGCCTTATTCTCGCCCATTTTACCTCCTGCTGCTTCTTTTCAAACCTTCTAGGTAGAAAAGAATTCTGAAGAAGTCCCATGCAAGAGGCTTTTTCCCATTCTGTCAAGGTGTCTGGGAAAAGTCTCCTCTCCTGAGGCACTGCCAGCACAGCCTTTGCTCCTCACAGTATAGTTCTTCTGCTCCCTGGCTCCTTGGGCTAAGCCGAAGAGCCCAGCCCCAGCCCCACCCTACCCTGTGGCTACCTCAAGCCAGGGTGCAGTATGTGGCACCCTGTGCACCCTTCTTGGGTTTATGTGCAGCAGCCCCTGCCCTGAGCTTGCCCAGTGTCCTTCCTGCCATTGACGTCCCCTTGGTGGTGGCTGTGGAGGATCATTTTGGCAACTGTCCTTAAAAGAAGAGCAGTCGTCTCCATTTTGGCTGAGTTAGACTGTATTTCCATGTACTGATATGTACAGAGCTGGCTAGGACTTTTCCTTTTCCCTTTAGTTGGCTTTAAGTAATGTATATTGGTCCAGCTGAGGTGCTGGTGTTAGTCTTTGAAGAAGGTAGGTGTGCTTCCCTGGAAACCCCCACCTGCTGTTCCCTAGTGTGAGCTGGGTTGAGATGGGAGGAAGGGCCAGTGCTCCATGCTGTTAGCTGGGTCTTTATTCTCACTGTGGGTTACACTGGAAAGTGGTAGATTAGAATTCACTTGATGGGAGTCCAATAGTTTATCCGTGGGATTACAAATATAAACTTCCTGGACTGAGATGAAGACCAGAAAGGACTCTCTGTAGTGGCAGTGGCTACCGTAGGTGGGGACTCAGGGGTGTGTCTGGTTCTGGGTTGAGCATAGAGCCCTCTTCCTGTGTGCTGGCTGGGAGCACAGAGTTCCTGTGCAGAGGGGGGAGGGCGCACTACTGTTCAGGAGAGTCCCTGGTGGGAGCTGACTGGAGACAGGCAGGTCTCATCTGCTTGTGCAGCAGCAGAATTTGTCATTTCAGAGGCAGCCAGGCAGACTGATTCAAGGACACGGTACCGACTGTCCCATGAACCTGTACACTCACTTTGTGCTGGATGTTTTCCAGGGGCTTGTGTCATTGAGCGTGATGGATACCTGTTTAAATATCTTCTGGATTATCTTCATGGAGAGGTTCGAATTCCTGAAGATGAGCAGACTCGTGTCGCCCTGCAGGAGGAGGCTGATTACTTTGGCATCCCCTATCCCGACAGCCTGTCAGACCACTTGGCCACTGAAATGGAGACATACTCTTTAAGGTCAAATATAGAACTTAAAAAGGTCTTGGCGTTTTCTTAAGTTTTAAGATAAATATGTATTTATTACGTACCAAGCAATATGTAGTCTTGTGTAGCCTGTGCTGTTATGTAAATCTAACATGAGGCGGTTTTAATGATTTTTGAAGACTTGTTTCTTAATTACTCATACTATTTTAAGGCCAGAGACCAATTATAGAAGAGTATATTAGATTGCCACTCAGTGGCTTATCAGGTTTTCCACGTGTATAACCCTAACACTATGGGAGACTGAGGTAGGAACACCCCAAGCTCAAGCTCAGCCTGTGCAATTTATTGACTTAATCAGAGCATGTGTTAGAATAAAAAATAAGAAGGACTGGGATAGAGTTCTGTGTGAAGGCTGTGGTTTCAGTCCCTAATACTGCGGGAAGAAAAAAGTTACTAAATTATATTTCTTTCTTTTTTCTTTTTTCTTTTTTTTTAATTTTAGGGAAGGGTCTACAGTGTGTTCAGGGTCTCACTACTCAAATTGCTTTTTTTTTTTTTTTGTAGAACCGGGGATTGAACTCAGGCACTTGTGCTTGTCAGGCAAGCACTTATTCTTCTGAGCTATCTCACCAGCCCCTACTAAGTTATATTTCTCACTGAGTATTTAATACTGTTTTTGGCATTTATTTATTTATTTTTTGGCTTTTAAAAGTAGAACTATTCTGCTCCTGAATTTCTCTTCAAATTAAGAAAAATGCTCTAGCACATGAGAAATCATGGTAATGTTTATTTCCTTATAAAAGTGGTCATGCTATGTAATAAAATCTCTGATTTAGTATGTATAGTAGTTTGTTTACAAGGTTAGCCATTCACTTTATTTATTTATTTATTTATATGTTTTTAAAAAAATTCTTTTTTAAAAAAATTTATTTATTTTGTGTGTGTGTGTGTGTGTGTGTGTGGCCAGTTCAGCCCACCAGGGGGTGGGGCTGGCTGGCATGTGGTGCTGGGGGATTGAATCGCGGTCCCTGTGCTTTGCTAAGCTTGTTCTAAGTAGGTGCTTTAGACCACTGAGCCATCTCACCAGCCCAGCCATTCACTTTAGAAGATTAGTTTTGATTAATTTGAGAGTAGATCTTTTTAAAAATGTTTCTGCCTTAAGTAATTTTAGAGATCTGTCTCGTTGATGAGGTCTGTAAAGTCAGTCTTGCTGACCAGTGTTGGATTTGCTGTAACTGGCCCACTAGGCATCTGAGGAAGGGTTTTCCTAGGTGATTGCTCATGGTGGAAACCGCCCTGCCCGGGATTGCATCCCTGGCTCAGAGGCCAGTGCTCAGCAAGCAACCCTGGGTGCTGGGTCAGGAGCTGTGTGCAGGGTGGAGCTTGGTTTGGGCCTGTGTCCCTGGGAGGTTGTGCGGACATTGATTATGCAGAATTTCTTCTGAGGTTAATAGGCCACGGGCCAACAGTGCTGCTGGCTACAAGTGCAGTGGGGCCTCCGAGGGCCAAGTGGAGGCCAGCAGGGCAGCTCTCCCCCTCGCACCCTGCATTCCCGGAGTCCGTGCTGCAGGACAGAGCATGCCTTGTCATTCACCAGCCTGCATGTGACCGCATCATGTTCGTGACTTGGCATGAACAGGGACCTTGTGGCTCACAGGGGAGTGCAGCACCTCCTGCTTTCTCTCTGGGTGTCACAGTGTAGTGGGGACCTGGCAGATGTGCAAGTGAGGGTCAGGAGTGATGTGAGCGGGACTGCAGCAGCAGTGGTGTTCAGGTGTGATTCTGTAGGGTGTCAGTGCGGCCCTGTTCGGTTGCAGAGTCCACAAGTGCTGGGCCTCTCCTTGGTGTTGGCCCTGATTGACACTGGAGAGCAGAGAGAGGCCGCATGGGCTGTGTGGGAGTTGAGCTCTGGACCCTGTAGTGGGCCCCTCTCTTGAGTCTGTTGACCTTAAACAGTGTCCAGCACACAGGTGATCAGTGTTCAGGTGAGTGAGAAACAGGTAGAGCAACAGCCACGTGCCTTGAGACGGTCCGTGCGGAGCTCATGCGTATCTCCACTCTGGGCACAGCACCTGGCGACCTGTAGACATCAGAGCCACACGGGCTCATGGGCAGACGGTTAAAGGAACTTCGAGGCACAAGGGGGGCTGTGAGAACACAGTTCAAAAAGGAAAGAGATCTTTGCATCGTGGTTTGAACAGTAATCGGGAAAAATGTGGGTAGTGGAGAAATATTGTAAGGATTATATTTTATGAAGGCTGAAAGAGGAGATTGAAAACTTGAGCTTTGTGTGGAAAGAGCTTCTCTGCCTGGAGAGCTGCCGGCTGTGGGGTGTCATGTTTGTGATCGCCTCCCTGTGAACTCCGCGTGTCAGAAGGCTGGCTGAAGCGTATGGCCTTTGTATTTCCCTCATGACCATCCCCACTGTGGTTTAACACAAAAGAAACAGATTTGATTCCTATTGGACTCCCGATTAAACCCCAATGTTATGTATCTTTTTTGCTTCAGGCCTTGGCAGACTTCTGTGACTCATATGGCCTGGTCTGCAGTGAGCCCTCAGTCTGGGTTCTGCACTACCTCAGCACATCAGGCACCAGCTGCGAGAGCAGGGTCATTGGCGTGTACGCCACGAGGGCCGACGGCATGGATGCCATAGAGCGGCAGCTGGGTGGCAGGATCCACAGCAGGAGCATCTTCAGGAGGTAGGGCCACGTGCCGTGGGCAACTTGATGGGACCAGCAGGGCTGATGCCCCTGGATACCTTGAGGGGAAGAGAGAGGAGTCCAGCCTGGTCCTAGTGTACTTGTCCAGCCTCCACGTGGCTAGGGACAGGGAGAGAGAGGACTTGCTTTAGGCCATTAATAAAATATGTAGGTATCAAATAGAAGTGACAAAATTTCTTTTGTATTTTATTTTTTATGTATTTAATACAGGGTTTACAGGGCCTCACTATGTAGAGTAGTAATTCTGTTTTTATCCTCCCAAGTACTGGGATTACAGGTGTGCACCACCACACTCCATCTCAGCATGCCCCAGGGGCGGGGCTGGCAAGGCACACTGGTGGGGGTACCCAGGCTGCTGCTCTTTGCCTAAGAAGGCACTTTAATCCACTGAGCTATTGGCCCGGTTCTAAAAATTTCTTTCGTTTTTTTTTTTTTTTGCGGAACCAGGGATTGAACTCAGATCCTTGCGTTTGCCAGTCAAACACTTATCCTACTGAGCCATCTCCCTGGGTCCTAAAAATTTCTTTTTTAAGAATAGTTTTATTACAACATTAAAATAAAACATACAAGCTGAATAGGCAGGAGGGAGATGGATAGGTCTCCCTCATGGCCTCATCCGTGGGAGTGGGTGGTGTTTCCGGGCTGTGTGCATGGCCACCTCTGGAGCACATGGTCTCCACCCTGACTGGGAGGACAACCCTGTGCCTCCCCTCGAGGTGTCCTGGATCCTGGGGCACTTTGCCCTAGCAGGCAGGCGGCACCCTGGGAACCCTGTGTGCTCTGAGGAATGAGACAGCCGCCTCATCCCTCTGTGTGGCCGGATGCCATGACTGGGGCATGCTGAACCCTGTCAGCTTGGCCCTCTTAGTGTGTTCCTTGTGATCTTGCTTGGTCATCTCATGTAGCAAAAATTGTACCTGATCTCTGGGCGATGACTAGCCTCTCATGCATGGCTGTGAGCTTGCATTCCAGCCAGCTAGGGGGAGCTTCTGGGGTCTCTAAGCAGAGATGCTCCTCTGTGGTATGGAAGTGCTCAGTGGGCTGCTGGAGTGTCTTGGTCAGATCTGAATCTTTTCTAACTACTATAATTAGCTGATTTTTTTAAAAAAAATTGAGATTAGAAATGTGTTGATTTGCCCGGTGTGGTGGCACACACCTCTGATCCCACTGTTGGAGTGGCTGAGGCAGGAAGGTCACCTTGAGTTCTTCCTGGGCTGCACAGTGAAATCAAGGACAGCCTGCACTGTAGCGTGAGACCATCTCACACCCACCCCACCAGGAGGCGTGTCGCTCTGTCTATGTTGGGAAATTGACTGGTACTATGCTGTGGTACGAGATCAGAGGTGAGCGCACCTGTGCTGTGGCCTTTACACATGTGTGTATTTGGGAGTGTGCACACGTGCTGAAGGGCTACAGAAAGACAACTCCGAGCCCAGTTCCCTGTCAGTAGCAAGCTTTTGAGTGTCCCTTAGCCTTCATACCCATGTGCTATCTTTTCATGACTTTTGCAATTTTTCTAGAGAGGCGGGAAATAACGTTCAGTACATTTGGAGCTATTACTCAGTGGCGGAGTTGAAGAAAATGATGGATGCCTTTGATGCATGGGAAGGAAAAGGTGCGGTGCGGGCCTTGGATTTCAGGGAAGTGGGTGGCTTTCTTCACTGAGGCAGCAGCCATCTTTATCTTTGAGGGAATGTGTTCTGAGGGCATTGGTGGCGACTTGTTGCACAGTGCTGCACTTCCAAGTCTGTAGGCCTCAGGGCTGTGTCTCATTAGAGGCAGGGAAAAGCAGGGACCCTGTTTCAACAGCGGGTGACAGTCCTTGCCGAGGACCAGTACCCCTCAGCGTGTGCTCCATGGGCAGCCTGGTGTACTCTGGAGGGTACCTGCGGCTGGGGCTGCTGCAGGGCTGCATTCGCTTGCCACCCCAGAGAAGCCAGAGCTGCCAGGGAGCGAGGGTGTTCTGAGTCCTGACGCCTGTCATAACCATGCACATGAAGAGGCCCCTCGTGCAGGTTCTGACTTAGCTGCCCAGGGTCGGGAGTGGGAACCCAGGGACAGGGGTACCATGGGACAGAGCAGGTTCTGCCCATCTTCCGAGCCCCAGGAGGAAGCACCTTTTTTTCTGTGCTATGCCCAGTAAGCTGAGTTGGTTATTATTGCCAGAGCTACAATGATAAAAAGAAAACAGCTCCTTTCCCGGCATGAGTGAGGTTATTCAGCATAGTTCTTTGAGCATTTTTATTTCTGTGTGTAAGTTTTTATATCTTGAAAAATTGAAGTGAAATGCTCATAACACACTTAGCTGGCTGAAAGTCTGTGTGTCGGTGGCATGGATCTTGCAGCCACTGCGCCAGTTCCAGGTCTGTCCCACCCTGCTGCTGTCCCACTCCCCGCCTGTCCCTCCCTTGGCCCTCAGCCCAAGCTGCTCATGTGGGCCTGCTTGGGTCTGGCTCCTTAGCGTCAGCATGCTGCTTCTGAGCCTACGGGACCCGCTTTGTCTTCAGGGCTTTGGCAGGGCCTGAGGGGGTGCAGCAGCTTGCATGGGTGCTGGTGGCCTCAGCTGTCTCTGGTTTGCTCTGGTGCTGTCAAGGATGCTCCAGCAGCCTGGGGAGGGGCAGGGCAGGCACAGGCCCTGCGCCAGGGGGACACAGCTGCCAGCTGCAGGGCCGACCTGCCCTAGTGCTGCGTCATGGGTGAGTGCAGCCATCACCAGAGGATGTGAGAAATCAGGCGCAGATGCATGGCTTTCTAAGGTCTCCTTGGTGAGCGACTGTGGGCTCTAGGCCAGCAGACTGGCTCGCTTGTTTCCTCAGGCTCATCAGCAGCAATGCCGGGGTGCACTGTGTATAGCACCCCAAGACCCAGCCGCAGAGCTGCTGTGGGGGTAAGGAGGTGGGGGTGGGGCCTAGTGTCACCAGTGGAGGACCTTTCCTCCACAGGTGTCAGCTACTGGCGGGTGCCCCACGAGCTGGTGGAGTGCTGGACCCTGGAGCAGCGGCCACTGCTCGGGAGTGTGCGCCACGCCATCCCTCTCCGCAAGAGGTGCGCTGGGTGACGCGGTGTGTGGGTATGTGGCCTTCTCAAGTGGATGGGAGTGCAAGTTCTGGCATGAGCAGGCTGTTTAATCAGTTCCCTGACACTTATGGTGCTGGTGCATGAGGTTTGAAAAGATTCAGTTGCTGCCTCTCTGGAAGAGGTGCTCCTTTGTGCTCTGAGCTTGGTGGGGGTGAGAAGCGAGGCTGGTTCCTTGGCCCTTGTGACTAATTTTTGGGGGCCCTGGAGGTGCACCTTAGAGACCTTTCTGTGGTTGCTGACCCAAATGCCCTTATCTGTTTTCAGGTGCCGGGATCACAGGGGGACCTCGGGTGCGGAGGAGGGAGGCGGTGTGAGTGGCAGGCCCAGGCCCCAGCCTGTGCGACACTCAGGCCCCTCTACTAGTACCCAGATCACCGTGCGCAACTCTGCCTCCATCCAGCTGGCTCCGGCCAGTACTGGCTCCAGCCCTGTGCAGGTGACGGCCACATGGGCTCGGCGCAGTGGCCATGGAAGGGCAGCCCAGAGCCCTGCATCCTCTGCGGGCATGGAGACTGCCCAGCATCTCCACTTTCCTTATGAGGCTGGGAGCCCTGAAAACGGGGCCGCACCCCCTCCACCTGCACAGGCGCCACCATGTTCGGACAAAAACAGGAGAGCCATACCCCACCGGGTGATAAAGCTGAGGAGGACCCCACTGTGTGCAGCCCCCACCCCACCCCTGGTGGAAGCCACCAGCACCTTGGGGGTGCAGACTGGAAGTGGTAGCGGCCAGGCCGATGGCCAAGAGGGCTAAAGACGTGTCCAGATGATGCTTGCGGCTCAGCTGTGGGACCTGCAGGAGGCCGGCTCAGGCAGGAGCAGGCAGTGACAGGAAGTGGGTGGAGTGACGAGGGCGACTGCAGGGCAATTGTCTCTGTCTCCTGGTTTTGAAAGGATTGTTTTTCTATGGCAGTTAGATGTCCTGGTTTTCACTGTTCTGAACTTTATTTGTGTGTTGGTAGCGAGGCATGTTGTTGCTAAAATACAGAGTAGCGTGGATGGGGCTTCCGTGTCATACTAGTGCCGGGAGCCGCCTCCCCCAGGTGAGATGATGGGGTGTCCCTGCTTCCTGCTGGTGGTGGTGGGCAGCGCCAGGGCCAGCACCTGCCTGCATGTGGCGCAAGCAGCCTGCCTCCGCGAGCAGGCCCAGCATCGCCCAGCATGGGCTGTGCCTGCACTCCTTGTTAGCAGGCAGTGGGTTTGGGACCAAGGTCTCCAATACGGGTTTTAACCAGAAGAGGGAAGTTTTGACCATACTTGAAAAAAAGTTTAAAATGTTTAGCTTTTTATCTAAAGTTAATATTTGTTTTTTAGAGTTGACTACTAACCATTCTGATTATATGATTTTTATGCATAAAATGTCCATATAAATTGAATTTAATATTTTTAAACAGATGGGGTCAGTACTTTCCTTGGCTGTCCCATTGAGTGCTCTTCTGTGCTATTTTGTAATTGGATCTCAGATTTCTGCTTTCCAAATTAAGTTCCTGGAGCAGGTTCCTTTCCGCTCAGTGCATAGCGTTGTGCTAGCATTGCCTCGAAAGAGAAAATACTCAAAACGTCATTTCTTGCAAAATAAAAAATTTTCCATAAAAAGCATTTTTTTGTGACTTTATTTCAGCCTCAGAGCCTTTTAGAAGTTTGAAAGCTTCTTAGCTTAGATAGGTTTTCTATTTCTGCTGGCAAAATTGCTTTCCTGTCCATACTATGTACAGAATAATTAAGCCCATTTTGGGTAACTGTCCGTTTGCAGGTACCACCCTGCTTAGGTGGTTTATCTGGGTGGTTGTATCGATGGTCTATAGTGATAGTTTCCTGTGGAATATATGTTTGGTCACCTTTCAAAATGGTCTTCGGGAGAACCCAGGCCTGTGAAAAGTAAAGACCAGGATGAGCTTTTGCAGCTGTGCCCTGGATGTTATTGTGAACAATGTGACCTGACCCGGGCCAACGAGATGCTGCTTCGTGTTAGGATGCTTTACACTAACAAGCATACGTAGCAGGCAGCTTTATACATAATAAACAGTACCTGGGAGCAAGGTTGGTCCTGGTGACTCTCCCAGTGCTTCAGGCAGTTCAGAGCAATCCACAGAGTGCGCTTAGCCCTGTGAGGCCAAGTGTGGAGGGGTGGCAGGCGGTCGGCGGGCTGGCAGCCCTTGTGGGTCTGGAGTTACCAGCAAGCTCAGAATGCTCTGGGCTCATGGGAGTAACTTCACGTGAATAAGTGTTTTTTTCTGCTTGTACTTTAACCACCCTAAAACCCTCATTTTGTTAGCAGGCTTTGAACATGAGAAACTGGGACCTTACCCCAAGCCTGGTGGGTTTCTTCCGGGTGAAGAAGACAAAAGCCTTCTAAATGAGGATTTGAAGTGTGGCACACGCCTGGGAAGCTGAGGCAGGAGGATTGCTGGGTGTCTGAGGCCAGCCTGGGCACACAGTAAGACCCAGCCTTAAAAAGCAAAATAAAAAGGGTTTAGTCGGGGGGGGGGTGCGGGGGGGCCGGGGACCTTGAGTAGTTCTGTGGATTAGAAGAGTCAGACGTTCTACACAGTGGAATATTTTAAAGTCACCCTGTGCTGTTCCAGGTGGTGTATGAGAGCCCGGCTAGCCCTGGTGATGCTGGTTGTCGCTGAGTGTGTCAGGCTGGGAAGAGGGCTGCTGACACTGGTGTGAACATAGTGATAAAAATGTCTCGCCCAGTTTTTTTTTTTTTTTTTTCCTGGAACCAGGGATTGAACTCAGGTTGTTTTCTACTGAGCCATTTCCCTAGCCCCCTCTTTGCCAGTTTTTAAAGCTCAAGAAAGTGGGGTTTAGAGACGAGGTGGCCGTGGGCTGATGGTCACACAGGCCCCCTCAGCCCCGTGACTTGGTGTCCACAGGAGAACATGGCCGCAAACCTGAACAATGTGGCTTTGCTCACTGTTGGCCCACATGAGTGCTGCTCACATACTGTTTCCCAGCAGATGGAAGCTGCCCCTGCCGTGTGCAGCCAGTGCCCGTGCAAAGGGTCTTCAGACCTTCCATGGCTCTGGACCCCACCCCGTGGGGACTTTGGAACAGTCACGTGGCAGAAACCTTGAGGCAGTGCAGAAACCCAATTTCTGGCCTTTTCAGTTTCTACCATCAGAAGAACAAAGAACATGCCAGGACTGCATCAGTAATGGTTGTCTCAGTTACAGGACTTTGTATGGAGCGAAAGGAAAGAGCCATGATGAGAATCAGGGGGGACGCCTGCAGATGGAGGGGTTGGTGGGCGGGGAAAGGGACTGGAACACACCCTGGGCATGGGCCTAGCCCAGCGAATCACAGCGAACCACAAACCCGCAGACACAAAATGTAAAAGATCTGGCAATCCTAATTTCTAAACCCTTGGTTTTGTACTATACATGTATCTTCTATTCATTTGTTTATTTTTTTGTGGTACCAGGGATTGAACTCAGGACCTTGTGCTTGCCAGCCAGGCACTTATGCAGCTGAGCTATCTCCCCAGCCCCCATGTATATATCTTTTTAAGAGCAATAGCAGGGTCTGGGGAGATAGCTCAGGGCTTAAGTGCCTGCCTAGCAAGTGCAAGGTCCTGAGTTCACACCACAAAAAAAAAAAAAAAAAAAAAAAAAAAAGCAATAGCAGTTTTGGGTTAGTTGATTGTTACTAAATTGACCATAAAATGAATAGTTGATAAAACAATTTGGAAACTGGCATCACCAGGTCCCAGAGCAGCAGAGCCGATGTTTCTGACCTGACGAGTGGTAGGCAAGGTGGTGCCTGTTGCCACCTTAGCAAGGGCTGATGCTGGGCATGGCAGACAGGGGTATTGCCAGCTGTGCCAACAGCATGTGTAGCGTGCCTGAGACACGGCTCTGAGAAGCCTGATTACTGAGCAGTCGATGTGCACAAGGCTGCAGAGAGCAAATTCTCTCCACTGGCAGAATGGTGCATCTTACTGCCTTTATCTGCGCTTGGTCTGTGGGGTTGGATGCCGCAGGGAAAGTGTGGACCAGGCAGCGTCTTCAGTGGTGCCCGTGTGTGCTCAAGTTACCTCCCGGGGGCCGAGCTGTCCCCCGACTGCCAGCACGCCGCCAAGCCCTGTACGTGGTGAGCTGAGTGTGAGGCTGCAGTTTGCACTCTGGCTTCCAGGCGTGCGGTGTGGTGTGGCCAGGCAGAAGTGTATCCAGCTGTCTCCTGCAGGCTGCCTGGCGGGCAGCCCTAACGGGGCCCTTTCCACTGATGGCCTGGTGGGAAGAGGATTTGTGTCCTTCAGCAGTGTCCCATGGCCCATGCTCCATGGGTTTGCTCACTTGAGGGCGTCTGATGTATGCTGAGGCAGAGAGAAGCAGAGTCTGCGGCGACGGTGGGCCACGGGGCTGCGTGTCAAGGTAGTCGCTGTCCTCTGGTAATGCTGCTGCTCATGGTGTTTGTTTGCTTGTGTCACCTCAGAGCTCTCTACCGTAGTAAGATTGTGCTGAGCTGTGAGTAGAAGCCGAGGGGCCTAGGCTTAGAAAAGAAATGTTTTATAAACAGTGTCATGGAAGGAAAAAGGTAGTACACTTGCTACCGCTGGGGAAAGGCAAGTATTGGAGCTTCTGCCAGATTCCTTAAAATGTTAGGCCTTTCTGCTTGAATGGTGGCTCTTCCAAGAATTCATTCCTAACTCGTTCACATGGAAGGCCTGGGAATTCAGTCTGGCTGAACACAGCACCTGTGACTAAGGACATCAGAGACAACCCTTACTCACTGCTGGGCCGACTGGTGCTGGTGCTGAGCCTGCCCAGAGCCCAGTGCAGCTGGAGGGATCAGGCATCTGGCACTGCTGCAGTCCCCTCTCCAGTCACTCCCTGTCCCTGTGTCCGCCTGCTCTTTGTCTGTTTTGCTGTAATGCTACCAGGGATGCTGATTTCTGAGCAACAGAGATTTTAGTTTTGCCTGCCTCGAGGTCAGAAGCCCAAGGTCCAGGGTCCATCTGCCCAGGCAGGGCCTTGCTGGGCTGTCTCTTCCAGCCCCTTCCTCTCTGTTGGCAGGAGCCCAGCCCTGCCCTGTGAGGGGAGCCTGCCATCTGGGATGGCGCCAGAAGGAATGGTGCCAGATGCGGTTCCCAGCGCCTTGCAAATACCCTTGTGATGTGGCCTCATAACCACCTTAAGTTGTATGTGGATGCGCTCCCTTTTGCCCAAGGAGAAGCCCAAGCAATGAGATGTTCACAGCGATGTCCTGGGTGGTGGGTCCTGGGCTTGAGTCCAGTAGGTGGCTGTGGGTCTGAAGTTCTGTCTTCTCACCTCCTCTAGAATTGGTTTCCAGAGCATCGTGCAAAAGCCAGTCAGGCTCCAGCCTGCCCGAGTCTTGCATCTTGCCTTTCTCTTCCCTTCAGGATTGCTGAGTGCTACCTGTGCATTATGAGGTGGATGGGCAAGTGAGAAAGGGTGGCGCTGACAGGGTGCACATGCCCATAAGACTAGGTCTAAATCAAACTGGAGTAGCCTTCGTTAAAAGCAGTCTTGGCCCAGAAGGGCTTGGACACCATGATTCACCATAAGTGCTGTGTGTCACAGTCATGGTTCTTTTGGTCATTCGTTTATTTGCTTTTGGCCAGACATCTACATAGTTTTCAAACGAATTTGCTGTAGAATTTACTTACTCTGGAGCTCACACTTGGAGAGCACAGCTGCTCTTCTGCACCAGGGTCTGAAGGAGGGGTCCTGGGAGGACTCCCCTCGGGGAAGAGCACCTGCCCCAGATGGGCCAGCGGGACCAGGTGGGGAGGGCTGCGGTGACGGTTCTGTGTCACTCGGCCTCCGAGGGTGGGGAAATGCTTCTTGAAACTCTGCCGGCAGAAAGCTTCCTTAGGACTCCTGAGGACTAGTTAGAAACAACGAGAGGGTGAAACAGGGTCCTGGTAATGTGAAAGTCTGAAGTCTGAGCTTCAAGTTCTTGCTGACAAGAGAACCACTGCGACCTAGGAACTGCACCACGTTTTCTCCTCACAAAATTAGAGTAATTTAGATGGCTCACTTCTTTCTAGAAGACTTGGGCGATGTGCATGGTAGGTAGGTGCTGGCCCTAGTATGAACTGTCATCCTGGTGGTGATCTAATAAGGCAGATGCCCTTCAAACAAAGGCCCATCCTCCTCAGACCACCTCCCCCTTCTCCAACTCAGCCCGGGGTGCAGTTTCCTTTCACCCTTCTCGAGCCTCAGGGAATCCCCAGTGAGCTCTTCAGGTGTATCTAAACACCCCTCCAAATGCCACCCCAGGCCAAAGGCCATAAAAGCCTCAGCCTCCCTTTGTTCAACTCCAGAGAATTTCTTACCTTCCCTAAATTCTCTCCGTGTCCTCACAATAGAAAGCCCCTTTCCCTTTTCCTTCTGCCTGTTTCTGTGATGCACCAGGCGCCTGATAAAACCTAGCAGTACGTTAGCTTATCCTATTTGTCTTTGGCTGTTTTATAGTTACTTAAACATTCTGGGGTCCAGGGACCAGCGTTCTTTTGCTCTCTGGGAAGGTGTCGCAGGAGTCCTGTGAGGCGGGTTTGTGGGAGCGCCTGCTGCTACCCGCGGTGGACACGGGAGGGCGCTCCACACAGCCCCTCTCCAGCCTCCCTGACCTGCCTGGGAAAAGAACTCGGCAAACCCTTCCTTGACCCCCACTTCTCAGCGCAGAATCAAGATCGGACTTAAATCCCGGCTTCCTGACACGCCAAGCCCACTCCTCCAGCAAAGAGACTGCTGCATGGTAATTTGCTCATTAACATCTCGTGTGGCACGTCTCTGAGTGTTTCATTAGACTCTTCTGGGGCCAGCAGAGCCCGCCTGCCCATGACGAGCCTCGACTGGTCTGTGGCCACCAGCTTCGCCCCAGCGGTGAGTCTCCACGGAGGGTAGACTTCGCTGTGATTCACGCTGAGCGTTCTGTGAACCGGGGCCGGACGCCAGTCTGCAGTGCGGAGCAGGCTATGTGGCGCGTCTTCTGTGGACACACTTGGAGCGGCGCTGGGAGCTTCGCGGGAGGGAGGCTGCGCTTCACGGCGGCCTTGACGGAAGCTGTGCCATGCGCTGAGTTTGAAGTTACCTGAACTTCATGGGTATGTATCCTTGACAGAGAAACGCTTGAAATGGAAGGACCCATTGTTCTGACCTTTGTCATTACACAGAGAAGTTAGTGTCTGTAGCTCTCAGCTTTTAAAAAGGAGTTGAAAATATTTGACAAGAGTGGCAGAGCATGACCAGATCTCCAGGGTCAAACAAATCTTCCTCCGCAATGAATGGATGAGGCTGTGCAGCGGAGTCTGAGGGGTCTGGCATCCCCACTAAAATATTTAAATTACCTTTTCAAAAATGCAAGTTAGGAAATGCTCACATGCCAAGTCTAAGGCGGAGATCTAGGAACACACCATCCGCCTGCGCATGCTTTAGCTTCCCGTGCTTCTTTCCAGCCGCATGGGGCATGCCCCGTGCTTCCGAAGGGAGGCCCTGAACCCAGGGCAGCTTGGGAGGCAGAGCGGGGTCAGGATGACCTGAGTCACCTTTCAAGCTGTCCTGCTGAAACTGGTGCTCTCAGTGGTGAGCAAAATCTTACTATGCCCAGAGTGCCAAGTCCTCCGACCTCAGGACCTCGGGTGGGTAAGCAGACTGCAGCGCCCTTCTTTGCTTCCTGGAATGGGACTCATGATTCTGAGAATCCTACCACTGAACCACCAATGCTAACTTCATTATTCTGAATTCTCATTACATCTCAGTGCTGTAGAGAGCACACCTTCCTGCACTCAGCAAGGGGAGACTCGGACGCTGTGTGCCTTGTGGGTCCAGCTGCCGGCCACCATGAGGCGACAGAAAACCCAGGCTGCTGGGCTGGTACAATGCTGGAAGAGGCCAGTAGACCTGGGGTGCCCGTCTCTGCCCCCAGTGCCTAGTGCTTGGGTGTGGGCCTCCAGTGGCTGCAAGCCTGAGGCCTTGGTGAACCTGGTCCCTGTGGCCCAGGAGTCTGGGGCACTGGCTCCGTCAGGGGCTCTGACTTCTAGGGGTCAGGCGAATTGGTGTTAGCTACTGGGCATGGCTGGGTCTCCAGCCAGCAGGCAGTGGCCGTACAATCTTCCCTGGCCTTCGAGGAAAGACTTGCTCTGCACAGAGGCTCCCAGAGAGCTCCTCCTTCTGGACAGCAGAGGCAAGACTCAGGGCTTAGGAGTGTGGCCGAGTACACCCTTCTGAGTCCAGCGTGGGCCCAGGGAGGAAGGAGGCCCCGGGTCACCAAAGAGCTGGAACCTGAGCAGGCTGGCCCCGGGGCGTTCTGTGATGCTGGCCTTCCATCCTGTAGCCATGAAACGCTCCCTGCTCTTTAAGCCAGGTCAAGTTGGAGCTTGTCGCTTGGAACCCAAGTTTCCTGGTGCCACGTGGCTGAAGTCTGTAGCCACCTACTGGCCTGGAACTGAGGGTCCATTTTTTCTGAGAGGGAGTGTTATGTACTCCAGGGAAGTACTATGTGAACCCCTGCATGGAAGCCTTTAGGTGCCACAGTTGTCTCCGAAGTGGAGAACTATGGAGAGAATTTGGTAAGAAGGCAGGCCTCATTAAGAGAAGCAAGACAGGCATCAAATGCAGCATATTTTAATTTTGTTCAAATAAAGCAATATATGTGTGTGTGTGTGTGTATATATATATATATATATTTTTTTTTTTTTTTTTTTTTTTTTTTTTCTCCAGAAAAACACCAGATGTGAAGTTCTACAAAAGCACACGTGTTCAGCAGACATGCCTGTCTGTCGGTCAAGGGTTTATTTCCACATGAACTCGCTAAGGACAACCATCAATGGAATGACGTCACGGCCGCAGCCGAGGTCTCCACCCACATGGTGGATTCCTAACAAGTGGCAAACACTGCCTGGTTAAATGCTGCAGACTCGATGAGGAAGTGCCAACAGATCAAGCAAAGCCATGAAAGTTACGGAGCAAGCAGAGCTGGGTACTGGAATTAGTAAAAATGATTATGAGAGGATTACACAACATATGGGTCTATTCTGATTGACTCTTTTGGCAGCGTGTTGGGTCAGCACCTGGGGCAGGGAACCAAACTGAGTAAGAAGCGCTCTTCTCTCTCCTCACTCAGGCCACCAACGTCACAGCAGGGACAGAGAGGACCGCAGCATCTGGGGACACCTCCATTCTTGTGGGACAGAGATTGCATTGTGAGGCCCGGCCAGCATTGCCCCGGAAAGGCCTGGCCTCCGAGTTGTCTGAGGCATGCTGTCTTCGCCGTGGTGGCTTCTCAGAATGGGCCATGGCCTCAGGGGGTTTTGTCCCTAAAGGGGCTTCTTGATTTTTCGTGCCACCTTTGTTTTTGGGGCGGAAGCCACTGTGTGGCTGTCTTCTGTGTTCGTGTCGGGTGCTGCCCTTCGCCATGGGGTCAGCATCGTTACCACCGCCCTGAGACTTGGTGGGCCCATTTAGCCTGGTGTTATGGTACTGGGGATTGAATCTCCGTCTTTGACTGGAAGGTCCATTCTGCAAAAAAGAAGAGAGAAGAGCCTGATGTTGCAAACCTTGGGAAGCCAATCTCTAGCCACAGGCAAGCTTCTTATGTTCCAGAAGAGTATGCCAGCATGCAGCCGGCGCAAGTGGTGCAACTCTTGGCCTAGTACAACAGGGACTGTCGTGTCAGTGGAACCACAAGAAATGGCTGACGTTGAAAGATAGATTGAGAAACAGGAGGCAATCAAAGGCTAGGTGCCATGGTTTATGTCTAGGTTTATGTCTAAATACTAGGTGTCCTCCCAAAGGCTCATGTGTGCCGAGGTGGGGCTTTCTGAGGTGACTGCGTCATGCGGCTGTGGTACTAAAGAAGTCACTGATGGGTTTATAACTGGCCGTGGAGTGGGAAGGCGAAGCCTGTCGGAGGGGTGTGCCCTGAGCGGCACACGGCCCTCCTGCCTTGATGGCTGCTGCCTCCTGTCCGCCCTGCTGTGGACTGGTTCTCCTCTGCCACACTACCCTCCTCGGAGCCAGCCAGCCATGGGCTGAAACCTCTGTGTGCAGTGTTGAAGTAAGCATGTCCTCCTTTAGCTAATGCGTGTGGGGTCTGTGTCCAAGCAAAGGGAAAGCAGCCACAACACTAGGAAGCGGCCCATCGGGGTGCCTACGGAGTAACAGATGCAGCAGACAGCGCAAGACTGCAAGGCCCTAAGACATCGGTATGACTTATATATATGAATTCTAATCACATTTGTGAAGAAAAAGTGAAATTCTGTCTGTAATTGTTCTTTAAGCAGTTTTTCTTTTTTTTTTTCAAAACAAATACTACCTACTGTTCAGCAGTATTACCCAGGCGAACACAGATATGAGGTAATTTGGGAGCTCTTGTGGAATGTGTGTGTAACTCACTGAAGTTTTTCTTTAAACTTCTTGCAGCTCTAAGCCAATCAATTTTTTTTTGGGGGGGGGTATAGGGGGCTTTACTGATGGTGTGCAAGGGCAGCGAGCCAGGGCTTCCGAGGCCCCTCCTCTTCTAGGGGCCTGGGATGGAAGCTGTGAGGGGAGATG